CCGCCGCCCAACCTATGGAGTTCTTGGTTGCTGTGTTTCCTGTTCAGTAGGGAGGTGTGTAGTGCCCCTAGGTTGTTGCCGTCTGCATGCAAGCAACACAGGCTGCAGCCCTGAGCAAGGCAGAGACCTTTTCCTGTCAGGCCACCATTCTCTGAAAAGTTGCTGTCCCCAGCCTTTCTCTTGTCGACAGCACTAACGTTCTTGACGACCTGTTAGGGTGTTCTATTTCATCCTCATGGACAGCTTTGAGATGTGAGGACCGCCATGTTTCATGTGTAAACTGCAAGAGTCTGGCAGAGCTGAGCCTTGACGCTGTGTCACACCAAAATTGGCCTTCACCACAGCTTGACTGCTGTGTGGGGGCTAGACTCCGTTAGCTAATATGTATGAGTTGGTGGTCTTTTAAAAATAACAGACTGGAAGGGCTGGAGAGATGGCTCAGAGGTTAAGAGCACTGGCTGCTCTTTCAGAGGTCCTGAGTTCATTTCCCAGCAACCACATGGTGGCTCACAACCATTTGTAATGAGATCTGGTGCCCTCTTCTGGCCTGCAGGGATACATGCAAGCAGAACACTGTATATTAATAAATCTTAAAAGAAAAAAAGAAACATCCTGTAAAAATAACAGACTGGGGCTGGGTGGTGGTGGTGCATGCATTTAATCCCACCACTCAGAGAGCAGAGCCAGGAGATCTCTGTGAGTTCGAGGCCAGCCTGGTTCACAGAACGAGATCCAGAGAACTACACAGGAAAACCTTGTCTCAAAAAAAAGACAGGACTTCTTGTTGTTTGTTTTGGTTTTTTATTTTTTAATTTTTTTTTTGAGACATTTTCTCTGTGTATCCCTGACTGTCCTGGAATCCACTTTGTAGGTTAGGCTGATCTCGAATTTAAAGAGATCTGCCTCATGAGTGTTGAAATTAAAGGTGTGTGCCACCACCTGGCCAAACTGGGGACTCTTAATCTCTGTATGTTTGGTCTTATTTCCTGCTCTGCTTTATTAAAACTAGTGTTTCTCTGAAGTCTGGTCCACACTTTGCTCATGAACATTGGGATTGTTAGATCCTCCTGTGATGTGGAAAGGTCTGGGGACGTAGGGCAGTGTTTTGTTCTTTCCCAGAAAGTCTCGTCTTTGCCTTCTGTTGCCTTGACAGTCACATGGCACAGGGGCCGGAATGAAGGATTCTTAAAGGCTCTTGTGCGCTTACAGTCTGATTTATGATTTACCCTGACCTGAGGAGAAACCTCCCTTTGGGGAGGCTAATGAAGCTGACAGGAAAGGTACAGCTTCCAGCAGGAGGGATGGGCAGCGACTCTGAACCTTCCTGACCCTGCAGCCGGCCATACAGGTCCTCATGTGGGGTGATCCCCAACCATAACATTACTTCTTCTTTTTTTTATTTATTTTGGTTTTTTGAGACAGGGTTTCTCTGTAGCTTTGGAACCTGTCCTGGAGCTTGCTCTGTAGACCAGGCTGGCCTCAAACTCACAGAGATCCACCTGCCTCTGCCTCCCGAGTGCTGGGATTACAGGCGTGCGCCACCACTGCCCGGCATAGCATTACTTCTTTGCTACTGTTATGAATATCTGACATGCAACTCCCAGGGGGGTTGTGACCCAGAGGTTGAGATCCACTGGATTACGGCCATTATTAAGGGCACGTATTCAGAAAACATTTGATGTACATCACAGAATTTTTTTTTAACTTTAAAAAAAAAAAAAAAATGTATACCATGTTCTGCCTGCATGTATCCTTGCAGGCCAGAAGAGGGCACCATATCTCATTATGGGTGGTTGTGAGCCACCCTGTGGTTGCTGGGAATTGAACTCAGGACCTCTGGAAGAACAGCCAGTGCTCTTAACTGCTGGGCCATCTCTCCAAGAATTTCCTAAAACACAAATGGCCTAGCTATGAATATGTGCGATCTCCTTAGGCTTCTTCACAATTCTGGATAAAAGAATGTGATTTACTAATGCTTGAATTATTTTGGCAAGTGAAAAACAAAGAGACTGGAGAGATGGCCCAGTGGTCAGAGCACTGGCCAGAGCACATGGTGGTTCAGGACCATCCACAGAACTAGTTCCAGGACAACCAGGGGTCACAAAGAAACCCTGTTCTGAAAAGAAAAATAAATAAATAAAGCTTTCCCTTAAGGGCTTTTTACCAGTATCAGTTATTAAGAGTTTGCGAATTTGGCAGGAGAAAATGTGGTGTTTCCATGATACTGAGTTTGGATTCTGTTTCCTTTCTTCTTTTTTCTTTTTTCTTTCTTTCTTTCTTTTCTTTTTTTTTTTTTTTTGGATTCTGTTTCCTTTCATCTTTGCAGTTTGGGGCGGCCTTTCTGACCATTATTGAAGTACCTTAATTCTCCAGATGACACTTGGTTTCATGGCCTTGAATATCATTTATATCCTGACAGTGACCCTGGCCCACACAACCCTCGGCCCGAGCTGTGGCTCTCTGGCCTTTTCCTCGTGTGACTCCCAGCCCAGGGCCTGGTTTTCTTCCCCCCCTCGCTGTGCCTTTGGCATGCCTGGCACACACTTCTTCAAAGTTTCTGTGCTTGGCGTTTCCTTTGCTGGAAAGCTTGTCCTACAGAGATGCCTGCGGCTTGTCCCCTTTCCGTAGGCAGCCTCTGCCCAGATTTTGTCAGGCCGCCTTTTAATGGCCTACAAAAATAGCAAACTCCTTTTTCATTTTTGTGCCTTTATTCTTTATAATAGTACTTATGACCCAATATATCTTTTCGTTGGGGAGTCTGAGTTTTCAATCAACTTAATTATTTACAGCTTCTTGTTAGGGTCAGGAACACTTACTGCTGTGGCAGGAGGCCCAAGAGGACAGTGCCACACAGCCCTGCTCTGACCGGTGCCTACCTGGAAGACAGAGGAGACAAGTCTTTATGTGAGATAAGCCGGAGGGCACCAGCAACGGGAAGGAGGACACGAAGGGCAGTTGGTGGCCGCGCTCTTGTTCCTGGCTGCCCGCTTCCACAGTTATCGTGTGGGGTCAGGGGGCAGGGGATTGGACGGCAGGGGGCGCTGCCGGCAGCTTTCTGCCCTCGGTGCTCCGTGCTCGGTGCTTGCTCGCTGATTATTCGGGTCCCCGGCATCTTGTCCCTCGCTCCTTCCTCGACTTCAGCCTACAGACCTGGGAAGCTTGCAGGCGAGCAACAGGCTTTCCCGTGCCTTGCTGGTCCCTTCTGTAGCTCAATTTCCTGGTTACCCACTACACATCTGGCTTCCACCTCCTCCATGCTGATGCAACTATCCTCATAGGTTGCCAAAATCTTGCTAATTAACACATTTACAGACTTTTTTCCAAATTAATTTTTTTAGTCTCCCTGTTACTTGGCAGCACCAACCGGTTTTCTTTCCCAGGGGCTTCTGCACCTCCACTGAGACGCCGCCGCCCGTCAGGCTCCTCCAGGCCCCACCGAGTGTTGCTTTCTTTGGTTCTCTAGCTGCCGGCACCAAGGTCACCTGTGAACCTGCTGAGAATGCAGACCACACAGGGCATGGCTCGTGCATCTAAGTCCCAGCACTCGGGAGGCAGGGGCAGGCGGAGCTCTGAGATCGAGGCCAGCCTGGGCTAGAGTGAGTTCCAGGACAGCCAGGGCTACACAGTGAGACCCTGTCTCAAAAACAAAACCAAAGCAACAAGGAATAATGCTAGAGATTGGTATTTTATAGCTGATTAATTAAGTTAATTCTTTCACTCCAGGGGTATCTGAAGGCATGAGGCACATCGGATACTCGGTTCTCTGATTAAACTGTTCCTTTGTGTTGTGTACTAGCACCCATCACAGGACCCTGCAAAGACTGGGTTTTCAATTATTCTGATTGTTAGGTTGAAATAATGGAGGGAGTTGGTAGAGGGCAGAAGCATAATTCCTGTTCTGGGGAGAAGCTCATAGGTAGAGCCTCCGAAGTTCCCTTAAAATCAGTAGTCAATCAAGCACAGCCTGGTCTACAGAGCGAGATCCAGGAAAGGTGCAAAGCTACACAGAGAAACCCTGTCTCCAAAAACCAAAAACCAAAAAAAATCAGTAGTCAAGGACTTGGTTGGTTGACCCTACATATGGATGGTGGGTGGGAATGTTTGTGAACCAGAGTAGGCCCTTGGGCAAATCTCACTGAAGGGCTAGAATTTAAGTTTCTCATTTGGCTGGTAAAGAGTTAATAACTTGCCCAATCTGATATTTTCTACTTGCAAATTCTGCCCTTCACGCTCATTGTAACGCCCACAGATTTGTGTGGTGTTTATGCCCACGGATTCCTATTATCTTTGTAAAAAGCATTCAGCACGCCTGTGTTACATTGGCTTAAAGCCGTTACCAGTTTTACATAACTCTAGACATAAGTATGAAACAAAATAGAGCCCAGGCGGCCTTGATTCAAGAGATCCTGTTTATAATTCTTCAGCTTGGTGGCTCACTATCTTCGCCAAAGGGTCAGCCTATTTTGTGTATCTGTAAACGTGAAGAGCTTTCCCAAGGAGAATGGAGACACTTCAAGTTCTTCCTAGCAAGGTGCACTGTAAATGCAAACAGAAACATAATTACCACAGGGTGAGGCAGAGAACCGGCTGTGGAATCTTCCTCATTGAATGACTTTAAGCCAGTGATTCTCAAAGGGCCCTTTCACAGGACTCACATATCAGATATCCTGCATATCAGATATTTACATCATAATTCATCGCAGTAGTAATATTACAGTTATGAAGTAGCAACAAAGCAGTTTTATGGTTGGGGGGTCACCACACCATGAGGAACTGTACTAAAAGGTCGCAGCGTTAGGAAGGTTGAGACCCCTGCTCTAAACTGAGGGGTGGAAAACAGTAAATGGAGTGAGGTGACGGCCTCAAGTTTAAATAAAGGCAGATGGAGCAGTCTGCATTTGTCTAAGGAGTTGGTGACGATGTCATTAGGCCTGCTCAACTGCCGTTCTCTGTGTTCCGTTTTTCATGGTGTGAATGGTGTCTCTATCCAGGAGGAGTCATGATCACCACGTCGGTCACGGCTGTCATGGCCGGTCATGGCCATCCCATCCTTTGCCAGCTGTTCGGGTCCCTCTCCTTTGTTTTATCTTTTCTGCTCTTGCTATTAAGATATAGTGGATGATTCTTCTTCTAGACGGGGTCTCATGTAGGCCAGGATGGCCTCTAACTTACTATGGAGTCAAGGATAGCCTTGAATTTTGGATCCTGCTGCCTTCATTTCCTGAGTGCTATATGCTGCGCTAAGGGTAGAACCCAAGCCCTAGGGTGTGCTGGGCAAATGCTCTGCCACGGAGCTATGTCCTCACGCTAAGCACTGTCTAATTTCGCAGTTACAGAGGCAAAGCAAGGTGGTCCTCCTCTTCGTCTCTGTTTGGCTGGGGATTTGATGCTACAGAAATCACCTCGTGTCCCTCAAGGAAAGGCCCAGAGACTCCAAGAGACAACAACCCAGGCTCCACAGAGCTTCCCAACAGGCTCCGGACAGCAGCACGTCCTCATGGCTCCTTAAACGGGTCTCGTAGTCTTGGTGTCCAGGATTTTCCTCCACTTAGGGAGGGAAGCCCTGCTTCACGTCTCTCCGATTAAACTGAAAGTTAGTGGAAGATGACCACCTTGTGAAAAGATTAAAATCCATACCGCTGAACTATGGCAGTTCATCGCAGGCATCTCTTGGAACATCTTTTTCCAAGAGCATCAACAGGACTTTTGGCTCTATATGGTGGAGTCAACATACATCATCCACCTAGTCATTCAGATGGTCAGCCAGATGGTGTGTGTGTGTGTGTGTGTGTGTGTGTGTGTGTGTGTGTGTGTGTTGGGGGCCTTCTTGCCCCTTTAGATATCCCCACTTCCTGAGGGAAAAGTTGCATGGTAGGACTCCTTCCCTGTGGAAATGGACAGCAAACAAATGCTCCAACTGTAACGGCAGTTGAGACTGAGGCTACCGAAGGGGTCTTCAGAAGCTAAGATGGAAGCCATGATGCTGGCAGTGATTTCTCTGTGTCTGCAAGAGAAGGGCAAGCAAGATGGAGATGCCATCTATTCTAGCTGACGAGGAACATTCTGCGTTCTTCAGTTGAGAAAGAAGAGGAGTGGGGCAGGCAGGGGGACACCAGAAAGGTGAGCAGAAGAAATCCTGGAACTGAGCAATTGGCCAGTAATGTGACGGGAGTGGTCAGGAGGAGTCACGGGACCTGGCTTGGGCGACTTGCTGTACGGGAGCACATCCGTTAGCATTTCAACCGCAAATCAGACCCCGTTCGCTGTCCCTTCCCACTACAGCCTGCTGTTCTGTCCTTAAAGGGGTGGAGCGTGACTTCCCCATCTTTTGGACTCATGCTGGCCTCGTGGTTTGCTTTGGCGGACAGAATGCACCAGAGGTGATGGCTTCTGCCTTGGAGCCACCCCGCCTCCAGAGAGGTCTTGCTCACTTCCACTCACTCCGCCACTTGGAGGACCAGCCTTGCCAGACCTGAGTGAGTCTGGTGGAGCAAGCCAGCCTATCGTTTCCCGGGGTTCGTAGTTTCTCAGCTACGGTCTCGGAAAGCTCCATCCAGCTTCTCAAGCCTGGCCTCAATTACGAACGGAAGGGAAGGCTGCGCTGAGCCAGCCGTTAGGTTCCACGTGGTTGGCCATGCCCTGCAAGCTAACCAATAAGACTGGGATAGGGAGCGGGAGTGGAAGAGGGTAGGGCTGTCTAGTGGTTGGGCAGATGACACGGAACTGCAGGAGATTGCGAGGCTTCTGCGGCATCCAGGAACCAGCCGCGTGTCCACTTCCTGTGCCCACTTCCTCCTCCTCACACCCCCTAACCTAAATCCCACCGCGTACTTACCAGGAAAGGTTTGAATAGTGAAGTAGATCCTGGAGCCAAGCGCACAGGCTGGTATTTACCACGGGGAATCAGGCCAGAATCAAGCGCCCCGAGTTTGAGGGAGCCAGTTCACTCTGCCCCAGCAGAGCAGGGGCCGCCCCGGTTTGGATGCTGAGCTGTAAGCAACAACTGTCCCCTGAGGGAGTGGATAGGTAAGTGGCAGCAATTTCCTTGATTTATAGTAAACTGGTAAATAAGGGCCCTTGCCCGGCCCTAGCCTTTTTCACAGTGATGTCATTCCTCGGTACCCTTTTAGATTGTGTGTGTGTGTGTGTGTGTGTGTGTGTGTGTGTGTGTGTGTGTGTACATTTGAGACAGGGTCTTATGTAGGCCAAGCTGGCCTTGAACTCAAACCTTAGACATAACCAAGGATGACCTTGAACTTCCGACCCGCCTGTCTACGCTCGTGTGCCACCACACCCAATTTACAGGGTGCTGAAGCTCAGATTCACCCATCAGCACTCCGACAATCAAAGGCGCAAACACTGGATCTCTTCTTCCGACTGTCCCAGGAACATCCAGCCATCTGCAGCTCTTGCCCTTTCTGGTGGCCCAGTTCCACCTTCGTGTTCACGCTCCAGGCTAGTGGCCCAGGTTGGCGGCTACGGGGGCGGGTGCCATCAGGACTCCACCGGCTGGGACCCGCGCAACAGGGCGAGCAGAGCGCGTCAGGCAGCCCGGGCGGTGCGCACGCCCGCGGGTGACAGTGCCCCGCGCGCGCGCTGCTCCCACCACTCCAGGAAGGGGCGGGGAAGAGGAGGCGCTAGAGGCGGCCGCCGCGCTCCCCGAGCTCTTTAAAACCCGAGAGCCTGGACAGCTCTGCTGGCGGCGCCGCGTCCCGGCGCCCAGTGTTGCCGCGTGTCCAGCCGGCTATCCTGCAGCGCGGTCGCGGGACGCGCCCATGCGTCCGCCAACCATGTCTGGGCACTTTCTGCTGGCTCCCATTCCCGAGTCATCCTCCGACTACCTCCTGCCCAAGGACATCAAACTGGCGGTGCTAGGCGCCGGTCGTGTGGGCAAAAGCGGTGAGTGGGGCAAGGGAGCGCGCCGCCCAACGACAGCAGGGGTCCCCCCGCCGGCCCGCAGGGATGCGGGAAGACCCCCGCCTGTTTTCTCTGGCAGTCCACTCCTGAGCTCTGGACCGGGTTGGCGGCTGCTGAGGGTCGCTCCGGTCTCGTCTGTCACCTTCCGCGGGGAAGCCACTTTGTCCCGGGGACCCGGGGGAAAGCGCGCCGTTCCCGTGAGGGCGACCACCCTGACCTACTTCTTCAGCTGACGTTCTTACTTCGTTTTTCAGCAATGATTGTGCGCTTCTTAACGAAGAGATTCATCGGCGACTACGAACCCAACACAGGTTAGAATGGTTTCTTGCTCCTTGGCTTTCCGGCTCCAGTTCCGTCTGTCCTCTCTCCCCTCCTTTTTCTTTTGCCGGTCAGAGCGTGGGAACTCAAATGCAAACTCCTCTTCCGTTGTACAGGCAAACTGTATTCGAGACTCGTTTATGTGGAGGGGGACCAGCTATCCCTGCAGATCCAGGACACTCCGGGAGGCATCCAGGTAAGGACTGTCACGAGGGTGTGTGGTGCAGCTGCATCTAACTTTGAGGTGATTGCCCCGAGGTCCCGAGTGAGATGTCTCAGCACGTCTAGTGTGCATTTCAATGTAGGTATCGGCGGTCTGTCACGGGTGAGCTGAGGGTCGGGATGCTGGATGCCCTCCAAGGCATGATTGATTAGGACTGGTTCGCTCTTAAACCCTACTTTGCTTATTTTAAAGATTGTGGCTTGCTCTGTAGCCCTGGCTGGCCAATCACTTGCTTCGTAGCTCAGGCAGGGCTGGCTTGGATTTACTATTTACTCTTTGATGCCTCAGCCTCCCAAGTGTGCGAGTTCCAGGCTGAGCCACCCCCCACACCCACTCCCAACAGTAGCTTCTTCTGCAGCCCTGGCTGACCGTCATTGCCTGGGCTGCTTAGGCGGGTATGAACACTTCCAGAGACGAGGAGCAATTTAAAAACAACAGCCGGCGGGGGTGGGGGCGTACTTTGCAGAGGTGAAGGTGGGGGACCTGGGGGGGGGTGGGGATGTAGCTCAGTAGTTAGTAAGCGCTTGCTCTAAGGTTCAGGTTCGAAGGTTCCATTCCCAGCACCACATTAAAGAAGCAAGCAGTAGATTGGATTCTGGAGGAAAAGGGCCTGCTTTCTGGCCAGGGCTGCCAAAAATGTTAGGGGCTGTTTCTCCAAGCCAGTAATTGCAACCAGATAACCTCTTGGCTATCAGTCCGGAATGCAACTTAATTAATTGCTCAGCCCTTCTAGGGAGGAGAGGTCGTGTGGAAGAGTGCAGAGAAAGGAATTCGTTTCTGTAACGTTCTCAAGAAGTTGACTGCTAAAAATATTTTTTTATGGGCTTGGGAATAGATATTTATGTTGGATGGTTTCCAGAGTTTTGTTTGTTATGAATTAGTTCCCTGAAAACTAAGCCATTCCGGTCTGTAATCATTCTCAAGTCATCAGAGTTCGCTGGAGACTGCCTGTCGAGCAGGGGCGTTAGAAGGTGTGTCCAGACCAGCTCAGAAAGGAATCCAGGATGAGCATTGGTCCGAGGCTTTGTCTGTCAAAAGCCTCTTGCAGAAGCTAGGTAGAGCCTGACAACGTTTAGCGATGTTTCCATCCAGCCAGTGTTCCTTCCAGGGTCACGTTTGAGCTTCCTTTGATCAGGTCCCATTTTGTTCTTTCTCAGGCCCAAGACAACCTCAGCCAAACAGTGGATTCTCTGTCCAAGTGCGTGCAGTGGGCCGAGGGATTTCTGCTGGTCTATTCCATAACAGACTACGAGAGCTACCAGTCCATTCGGCCTCTTTACCAGCAGATCCGGAAGGTCCACCCTGATGGAAAAGCCCCTGTCGTCATCGTGGGCAACAAAGGAGACCTTCTGCATGCCCGGCAGGTGCAGACACACGACGGTCTTCAGCTAGCCAATGAGCTGGGCAGTCTTTTCCTGGAAATTTCCACTAGTGAAAACTATGAAGACGTCTGTGACGTGTTCCAACATCTCTGCAAAGAAGTGAGCAAAGTGCACAGTCCCAGTGGGGAGCGGAGGAGGGCTTCCATCATCCCCCGGCCTCGCTCCCCCAATATGCAGGACCTGAAGAGGCGCTTCAGGCAGGCCCTGTCCTCCAAAGTAAAAGCCCCCTCCGCCCTGGGGTGACCCATCTCAGGCAGACTGGCGACTTTCATTACTATTATTATTAAGCATTTGTGCAGCCACAAAGACTGGGCCTTTCCCCTTTAAAACATATTGAGAGTTTATTTTTATAATGACCTTATTGGCTTTCAAGTGGATGTGTATTTCTGAAAATTCAAACAATGATTGACTAGACGTTGTTTTTTTTTTTTTTTTACTGTAACTGTTGGCCACTTTTCCATTAAAGGCAAAATGGCAATCTATTCCTTGTTTTCTGAATGTCTTTTTATAGAAATCTTGCTTGCACCAGAGCCCAGAAGTGCTCGGTGTTTGGCCCTGAGTCTGAACTCTGATTGGTGTCTTGCAGTCGGGAGGGGGTCATGTGCAGGGAGTCAGCTGTGGGGGAGAGAGGTATGCAGGGGAGGGGAAAGGTTTGACTAGCTACAGGATATCCTTAATTAGGGCAGCTCTTCACAGTCCGGAAGTTAGCACTGGTTTTCCAGCACCACGCTTGGTTGGAGACTGACGCTAAAATGCTACAAACTGTCATTATTATTTACTTATTTGTCCAAATGCCAGGGTAGCCTCTCCACAGAATAGCTTAGAGAACAAAATCCCAGCTAGAGACTGGCACATGCCTGTGGTCCTTGCCCTCAGAAGGCTGAGACAGAAGCACAAGTGTCAGACACCCCCCCCCCCAGCCATGTATGGAAACTCCATCATAAAACCAGCGCCTGGGGACGGAGCTCAGGGGTAGAATGGATGCTTACTGTGCTCAAGGTCCTTGGTTTGATTCCCCAGCACTGTCCAAAGAGGAAAGAAAATCTCCTTTTCCAGGATCCTTTGTCAGTAAGTGAGCTTCGCCATCTGGGAGTGGCCTCCGTTCTCCCTCCCTCCTGCATCTCAGACCCTTTGCTGTATATGGACATAAGATGATCCAAGTATTATTTCATGAACTAGAGATGACTTTCTTGGGTTCACAGTACAGGCAGAGGGGAGAGTGATGTGACGTAATTTCACAGTGAACACACTCCATGGCTGAGGGGCATTGACTGCCTGGTGAGCAAGGTCCAGAGTTGTTGGAGTCTCCTTCACCATCAGGGTAGAAGCCTCTGGAAAAAAAAGAGAGTATAATTGACATTTGAGGTATATCTTGTTTGGGGAGGTCTTGAGGATTGAACCCAGGACCTTACACTCTAGTGCAGAACTGCACCCCGGCCTCTGAGGCATATCTTTACTTGTGTGCCCTTTAGGGAGATGCTGGCTTAATGATCCCCATGGGCGAATGAGGAGGGAGGTGCAGGTGTTGAAAGTGAGGGCTTGGAGACTGCAACACTGTTATAACCTGAGCTGTGCATCCTGCGGTCGCTGGTAGGGCTAGCCTGGCCACAGCTTCAGCTCTGTGCTGTTAGGGCTAGCCTGGCCACAGCTTCAGCTCTGTGCTGTTAGGGCTAGCCTGGCCACAGCTTCAGCTCTGTGCTGTTGTTAGGGCTAGCCTGGCCACAGCTTCAGCTCTCAAGGTAAACTCAAGTTTATACATATCTTGAAATACAGTAGTTGAGGCCAGTAAGTGGGACACTGGCTGACTCACATGTGGAGTCTGATAAGGCTCATGGAACCTTGCTGGAGGGAGAAGACGTTCCTTTCAAGGCACCAGGTCTGTTAGCTCTGTTTTTCTCTAAAGGTCCAGTTATGCCTCTCTCAGGAACTTTATAAGTCTTCTCTAGACCAGACATCAAAAATCAGAGAAGGGGCTGGAGAGTCGGTTCAGCAGTTAGGCTCACTGGCTGCTCTTCCAGAGGAGCTGGGTTCGATTCCCAGCGCCCACACAGCTGCTCAGGACTGTTTGTAACCCCAGTCCAAGGCTATCAGATGCCCTCTTCTGGCCTCCACAGGCACCGTATGCACAGGAACAGACTTAAATGCAGACAGAAACATCCAGATACATAAAAAAAAAAAAAGCTTATTTTCCTCACCAACAGCAGCTCCTGTTTGATTTTCACGAGTGAACACCTAACTGGGTTCCCCTTATCTATGGCAGACAATATAAGTGAGAAATACCATAAAGATTATTTATCACCTCTCCAGTTTCATTATTTTCTCGCTCCAACACACATACAAATATATACACACACATATACATACACACACGTATACATACATATACATATATACACACATATACATACATACACACACACATACACACATACACACACACACACACACACACACACACACACACACACACACACACACCCATTCCACCTCACCGCCGACACAATAGGACTGTCTGCCTTTCTCAGTATACTCCAGGCTCTTCCATGCCTCCCCACCTGGGCACAAACTGTCCCTAAGTCTCACACAGGTTCACCTAGTCCTTACCTAAGGAAGGGCTTGCTAACTTTCCTTCCAGGACTCGAGTCACATGCTGCGTGCCCGATTCGGCTCTGGGAGGCCTTTTTGGGTTTCCTTATCCATGCCGTATAACCCACCA